TTGTACCAACCAGCTCCTCAGAACATGAAGGTACAAAATGAAAAAGACCACAAACACATGGAGGCTTAATAACATGCTACTAAATAATCAATGGATCAATGACCAAATAAAAACAGAGATCAAGCAATATATGGAGACAAATGACAAAAATAATTCAACACTGCAAAAATCTGTGGGACACAGAGAAGGCCATGCTAAGAGGGAAATATATTGCAATACAGGCCTACATCAGGAAAGAAGAACAATCCCAAATGAACAGTCTAAACTCATAATTAATGAAACTAGAAAAGGAAGAACAAATGAGGCCCAAAGTCAGTAGAAGGAGGGACATAATAAAGATTAAAGCAAAAATAAATAAAATTGAGAAGAATAAAACAATAGAAAGAATCAATGAAAGTAGGAGCTGTTTCTTTGAGAAAATAAACAAAATAGATAAACCCCTAGCCAGACTTATCAAGAAAAAAAAAAGAGAGTCTACACACATAAAAAGAATCAGAAATGAGAAAGGAAAAATCACTACAGACACCACAGAAATACAAAGAATTATGAGAGAATACTATGAAAAATTATAGCTAACAAACCGGATAACCTAGAAGAAATGGACAACTTTCTAGAAAAATACAACTTTCCAAGGCTGAGCCAGGAAGGAACAGAAAATCTGAATAGACCAATTACCAGCAAAGAAATTGAATTGGTAATCAAAAAATTACCTAAGAACAAAATTCCTGGACAAGATGGTTTCACTGCTAAATTTTATGAAACGTTTAGTGAAGACCTAATACCCATCCTCCTTAAAGTTTTCCGAAAAGTAGAAGAGGAGGGAATATCATTCTAATACCAAAAGCAGGCAAAGACAACCCAAAAAAAGAAAATTACAGAACAATATCACTAATGAACATAGAAGCAAAAATACTCAATTAAAAAAAAATACTCAATAAAATATTAACAAACCAAATTCAAAAATACATCAAAAATATCATCCATCATGATCAAGTGGGATTCATCCCAGGGATGAAAGGATGGTACAACATTCAAAAATCCATCAATATCATCTACTACATCAACAAAAAGGACAAAAATCACATGATCATCTCCATAGATGCTTAAAAATCATTCAACAAAATTCAACATCCATTCATGATAAAAACTCTCAACAAAATGGGTATAGAGGGCAAGTACCTCAACATAATAAAGGCCATATAAGACAAACCCACAGCCAACATCATACTTAACAGCGAGAAGCTGAAAGCTTTTCCTTTAAGATCAGGATCAAGACAGGGATGCCCACTTTCCCCACTTCTATTCAACATAGTACTGGAGGTCCTGGCCACAGCAATCAGACAGCACAAAGAAATAAAAGGCATCAAGATTGGCAAGGAAGAAGTCAAACTGTCCTTGTTTGAAGATGACATGATATTGTATATAAAAACCCTAAAGAATCCACTCCAAAATTACTAGATCTAATAACTGAATTCAGCAAAGTTGTGGGACACAAAATTAATACACAGAAATCTGTTGCATTCCTATACACTAATGTTGAACTATCAGAAAGAGAAATCAGGAAAACATTTCCATTCACAACGGCATCAAAAGAATAAAATACCTAAGAATAAACCTAACCAAGGAAGTGAAAGACTTATACTCTGAAAACTACAAGACATTCATGAGAGAAATTAAAGAAGATACCAATAAATGGAAACACATCCCGTGCTCATGGAAAGGAAGAATTAATATTGTCAAAATGGCCATTCTGCCTAAAGCAATCTACAGATTCAATGCAGTCCCTATCAAAATACCAACAGCATTCTTCAAAGTACTAGAGCAAATAGTTCTAAAATTCATATGGAACCACAAAAGACCCTGAATAGCCAAAGCAGTCCTGAGAAGGAAGAATAAAGTGGGGGGGAATTATGCTCCCTGACTTCAAGCTCTACTACAAAGCAACAGTAATCAAGAGAATTTGGTACTGGCACAAGAACAGACCCATAGACCAATGGAATAGACTAGAGAGCCCAGATATAAACCCAAGCATATATGGTCAATTAATATATGATAAAGGAGCCATGGATATACAATGGGGAAATGACAGCCTCTTCAACAGCTAGCTGGTGGTGGCAAAACTGGACAGCTACATGTAAGAGAATGAAACGGGATTATTGTGTAACCCCATACACAAAAGTAAACTTGAAATGGATCAAAGACCTGAATCTAAGTCATGAAACTATAAAACTCTTAGAAGACAACATATGCAAAAATCTCCTGAATAGAAACAAGAGCAACTTTTTCCTGAATGCATCTCCTTGGGCAAGGGAAACAAAAGCAAAAATGAACAAATGGGACTACATTAAGCTAAAAAGCTTTTGCACAGCAAAGGACACCATCAATAGAACAAAAAGTCCATCCTACAGTATGGAAGAATATATTTGTAAATGACATATCTAACAGGGGGTTAACATTCAAAATAATAAAGAATTCACATGCTTCAACAACCAAAAAGAAAATAACCCGATTAAAAAATGGGCAGAGGATATGAACAGACACTTCTCCAAAGAAGAAATTCAGATGGCCAACAGGCACATGAAAAGATGCTCCATATTGCTAATTATCCGGGAAATGTAAATTAAAACCACCATGAGATATCACCTCACAACAGTAAGGATGGCCAGCATCAAAAAGGCTAAGTACAAATGCTGGCAAGCATGCAGAGAAAGGGGAACCCTCCTACACTACTGGTGGGAATGTGTGCTAGTTCAACCATTTTGGAAAGCAATAGGAGGTTCCTCAAAAGACTAAAAATAGAAATACCATTTGACCCGGGAATTCTACTCCTAGGAATTTACCCAAAGAACACAACTTCTCAGATTCAAAAAGACATATGCACCCCTATGTTTATTGCAGCACTATTTACAATAGCCAAGATATGGAAGCAACCTAAGTGTCCATCAGATGAATGGATAAAGAAGAGGTGGTACATATACACAATGGAATACTATTCAGCCATAAGAAAGAAAGAAATCCTACCATTTGCAACAACATGGATGGAGCTGGAGGACATTATGCTCAGTGAAATAAGCCAAGCATAGAAAGACAAATGCCAAATGATTTCCCTCATTTGTGGAGTATAATGATGAAGCAAAACTGAAGGAACAAAATAGCAACAGACTCACAGATTCCAAGGGACTAGTAGTTACCAAAGGGGAGGGGTGGGGAGGGCAGATGGAGAGGGAGAAGGAAATTGTGGGGTATTATAATTGGCACACATGGTCTATAGGGGGGGCCACAGGGAAGACAGTGTAGCACAGAGAAGTCAAATAGTGATTCTGTGGCATCTTACTACACTGATGACAGTGACTGCAATGGTGTATGGGAGGGGATTCGATAATATGGGTGAATGCAGTAACACCGTTTTTCAAGTGAAACCTTCATAAGAGTATATATCAATAATACCTTAATAAAACTGTCTTAAAAAAAAAAGAATGAGTGAGTGAATGAACAGGCTTGAGAGGGTCCATGAACTCCCTCCAATTACAGTAAAAGGCAGTGTGTTTATGCATATGCATATATTTCCCTAAGAAGAGGGTTCTCAGCTCTATCAGATTTTCAAAAGGGGCCAGCATCCCAAAGAGCTTAAGAACCACTAGCCAGGCAAGTTCCCAGTGGTTCTACCCAGCTCCTACAGTATCTCCAAATCATTAGCGTACAGAGATGTACTTACTTATACCTTCAAGTGGTCACTCACTTCCTCTTTGAGACAAAACAAAACTGAAGACGCCATTGCTACCTCTGCCTTCTTGGAAGCCGTGGCCCCAAAACCAGGGTGAATTTTACCCCAACAGGAGCCTACCCATGGCAACCTCCTGCCCTAATGCCCTTCTTCCCAACTCCAGTCCATGTTCGCCTTCATATGGGGGTTTCCAGGGGGAAAAAACTTTCTTGTTTCTCCCATCCTCAAAACTGAAAGATATAAAAGGGTTTATCAATGTCCTGCCTCATGCTAAAAAAGTGCTAGAAAAAAAAATATTAAGTCTGTTTTTCTGTTCACTAGGATTAATACTATTAATCCTGTTCACTAGGATTAATACTATCAACATTGCATAGCATCAGTGATAATATCAGTTTTTTATCCCATATCCTTTAAAGAAAAATGGACACACTTACCAAGGTAAACAGATCCACCACCACCCACTTCCCCTCCTGCCTCTGGGACGCCCCACTCTTTCCCAGCCACCCCCCATCTCCCAACGTCAGGTTCTTCATCTCAATTCCCCACAAAACCTGGTAGGACAGGGATTAGTGTGAAAGAGAGGCTAAGGGAGATAGGAGGTGGAGACAGCAAGAAACTAAGGAGGGAGAAAAAGGTGTTAAGACTTTGGACCCAACACGGGCTCATTCATCTAATAAGCTGGGTGCCTGATGTTGGGATGTCTCATCTTAAGTAAAACTAGCATATTTAAAGGACTATTGCCAACTTTTAAAGGTCTGGGAATTACCTAGTATTTCTTCTGCAGCTTTAGCAGCTTTTCCAAGGATGAAAAGCCATGCACTCTTGGCCGTGACTGAACACAACCCACATCCCAAACACACCTCAGGCCACTGCCTTCCAGGACATTCATGCCCCTTCCCACTTTTGCGATGTGGTAATGCCATCATCCACCCGGAAAAGCACTGCTGAAATATTTTCTCATTCTAGGCCCAGCTCAAATACTGCCTCCTCTGTGAAGCCATTTCCAAGCCCACCAGTCAGAACTGCTTCCTTCCTGTACTTCTAAAGCCTGCGGCCCTGACCCCAACCTGCCACCAGACCAGCTGGTTATTCATGCATGCATTTTGCTGCTGAACTATCAGCCTGAGAGCACTTTATTCCCTTCATCTCCCCAGAACCCAGCCCTAGGACTTTTAACTCAGGCTCAATTAGCTGACTAGAATGTCCTGATACAGTTCACAGAGTTAAATGACATACATATTATGGGTAAACACAGAGTGCTCAAGCCAAACACTACCTCTCTGGAACCCGGAACACTACTGTGATCTTTTTCCATTATCAGCCATCTGAGAACATGTGGAATAGAGATATTCTTCCATGTCGGCCAAGGGTTAACAAATCTCCCATCCTTCCCTTTCTTTGATTTAGTTACATCTTCCTCTAGTCTATAATCCAGTTTGAAACTTTTCCTGGAAAATCTAGAAGAATCACTTTCTCCAGAATTCCGTGCTGAAGTTTGGCGTTTTCTTACTACTTCTTTAGGATATTGGCTGCTTGTCATCAGGGGCTGGTCGCTCTCATTTTCATCCATGTCCTTTGCAGACCTGGAAATAAAAAAGGTGGGGGGTGGGCAGGAATAGTGAGTTTAACATAAAGGCATCAAATCACATAGTATTATTTTGTACCCAATAAAAATGCCCTCAGTCTTATAAAAACACTATCGCTATTAGCTCAAACCTTCTTCCCACAAAATACAATTTAGAATCCAATATTACTGCTTGCTAAACAGAAAAGATGTTTGCTCTGCCTATTCCTTCCAAACCTTTTAAAAATTCCTTATCTGCTCCAATCCAAAACAGCCTACTCCACCAGTCAGCATTTAAACATGAAATTTTCCATTTCAGTGATATCTTATAGAATAAAGCACCTTCAAGATTCTGTAACATTTTCATACCTGAATTTTAAAAATATTATTGTTAATAACACATACTAAGAAGAAAGGCCTTAGTTCCCTGAAGATACTTCAGTAATCCAAGTGATTTACATATAACTCACTGGGCCTACTTATTTTTACTTTGAAGATAACCTTTTACCAACACTCCTAAAAGTAGAGACCAAAAGCAAGGAAAGGAGATAGCACAAATTGAGAGACATTTCAAAAATATATTTAAGTGGTGAACAACACAAATTTGAATTCACTCAGATTTAGAACTGCCAAGTCAGCACAGTATACATCCTAGCTGTGTGGCTTTAGGTAAGTTTCTTACCCTCTCTGTGCCCCAATTGCTTCATCTATAAAGTGGAGATATAACACTGCCTGCCCCTAAGGGTTGCTGAGAGGATTTAAAAAGCTAATATAAATAAAGCACTTGTATATATGTAGAAACATATATAACAAATATAACATGTATGCACATAACAGCTCAAAAATGTTAACTGGTGCTGCTAACCTTATTATTACTGCTACTGACTACCTACTGCCACCACGTAACTCAAGGCACTGAAATCCTTAACCCTGAACTACACTGGACTCCAGACACATACAACTGAAAAATAATGCATCAAGAATACGCATGAACTTTACTTCTTTCCTAATATTCTAAACAAATATTTGCTTTCTGTCTAGTTTAAATTCCACTCATACAAATAATACACCTCATAACCCTAAGAAAATAAGCACAATAACAAAGCCAAATGGTTTTATGGCTACAATTAATGGTGTTTAAACAGAAATACTGTCCAGGAGAGAAAGGGAAAGAATGCAAACCCCAAGGTAGACAAGTACATGGAACCAAACTTTTTTTTTTTTCCAAACTGTTCGGTGTAAATTGTCTACGGTCTGGAGAATAATTGATATGAAGAAAAAAAGCCACAGGTGATAAAAGCTGAGGCCACACTCTGCTGCCCCCACATTGCTCTATGGGGGACATCTAGCTTTCTACCCCATCGAGGAACAGCCTTTCCAGTCCCAGATTTCTCAGCTGTGAAGTACCTACTTACCTCATGGGGGTTTCAAAGGATTTCAATGACATACGTACAGAAAGAGCTGGCCACTCACCAAATGCTAACTCTTTTTTCCTTAATCCTGCTAATCAGTCATCTATCTAACTTCTTTAAATTCTATCAAAAAGCAAAGGATCCAAGTGAGTCATCTCAGTTCTCACACAATCACTCTACCTGGGTTATAATTAAGCTCAGGCTCGGCCTTTACAAAGAAAAAAAAAAAAAAGACCATCTATTTAAACTCCATTTAACATATGTAAACACACAAGTTTAGAGACTTTAAACTCTTTCCTGACAAAATAACATATCTAACAGATGGCAGAGCTGACCTCATGCCACCCTTGGTGATGATACACTTCATGTGTGTGCGTGCATGTCTGTGTGTATATACACATGCAAATACATATATAATTCCACCGACTATTTAAAGTTTTTGGCACATTGTTTTAAACAGAGGATGAGGAGAAAGGAGAAGAGGGAGCTCTAATTTGCTCTGACAAAAGCATAGTCAAAACAGGTTTTTAAACATCTCATCGTCCACTGTAGCTGGGACAGAAGCTGCCGAGAAGCTTGTGAGAGTTGATGAGGAAGGTATGAAGGTTGGCCTGTAAAGGATGGGACCAGATTTGGGGCCTGGACTGAAACACTCGTGTTTGGCTGCACTGCAGGCAATGAAGAAAAACTGAAAGTGCTTAATAAGGGTTACATTCAGAGAAGACAACTATGGTTAGCAAGATAAAAACCAAAGGTGTGGCTAAAACCTGGAGCCAGGGAGATTAATGAGTGAGTAGGAAATAGAACCCAGAGCATCTACTAATAACCAAAGCTCTAGGCTACATGTTCACACATTTCATTTATATAAACGCTCCTACCAGAACTTCAGGGTAGGTACTATAGTCCCCATGTTTTGTCTGACGCACTAAGAGGTAGGCAGCAGCCAGTCAAAGGTGACAGAGGAAAACGCTGAGTAAATCCAAGCCAATAAAGAAGCTGAATCACGACACTTGACAGTCTCTGGTGGGTCGCAGACCTTGGACTAGGTGGGGCAGGGTGGGGGGAGGCGTGGGGAAGAAGTGGAGGGAGTCACCCAGCAAAGGAATCAGTGTGCAGAAGGGAGGAGAAGGTGGATTCTGAGCCCGGGGACTTGAGGTCCTGGGAAGCATGAGTCCCAGCAGAAGTGCTCACTGACCCCCGGGCAAGTGGATGACCCCGTCCAGGTTGCTTTGGGATGATAAAAGTGAAAGAAAGAAAACAGAGGGTTCCAGAGGCCTGGAGAGTAAAATCAGTGACAAATGGGTTCAGTGGCCTTTCTTTGTACTGGACAATAAACTTTTTCAAAGTTGTCTGTTCACACTGTCCCCATTTTCTTACCTTCCATCCACTCAGGCTCTCACTCCAATCCATGAAACAGTTCTTTTTGCCAAATAGCCATGCTCTGTTAAAACTCCCTCCCCCTAGCACACCAAACCCGGTCTTCAGGAGTGATCCTTCTTTAGGTAAATCTGATATAAAAAAACAACCAAGCAAACAAACAAAAAGGAAAAACCTCCAACGGATTCCTTTGTTCTCAGAATGAGGGCAAGGATCACGACAGTCCTTAAAGGTAAGTTTCTGGTCCTCCTCTCCTCTGCTCCAAACACAGGGCCTGAATCTTTCCTCCTACGCACAATGCTCCCACCTCAGGGCCACCTACTGGGTCACAGGGCATTGGCACATGATTTTTTAAATATCCTTGGTGGGAGAAGGGAGAATATGGGCATGAATGCTCGCAGGATTGCATACTACCGTCAAAGTCGTTCAAGCAACACACTGTGAGCATGATGACACAGCATTTCACACTATGCAATTAAACTGTGAAATGATACAAAGGAACAGAAGGACATTACACCCTGAACCACGACAATCTAGACTTGTTCTTTTGGAGGAAAGTGCTGGAAGTCCATTCAGTAAATGTGCAAAATAACAAGCTCAGTGAACAGCTGCCCATGAAAATGTATGGAGCCTGCCCGAGGGCTGGTGCTTAAAAGGCTTCTCATCAAATATCAGTCTTCCAGTCACTCTCTAGTGGATACAGCAACAATCTCCCAAGGGTCATCTTTAAACATCAAAGATAAAATGATAGGAAAACTAGAAATGAAGAAGAGTGGGTTCTATGTACAGTACTAATATTAACTAGTTTTCAGATTTGCAAACTCAGACAAACCCCTTAATATAGCTAGGCTGCTAATTAAATGTAGCAAATTCCCCAGTTATTTCTTATTATATATACATTATATATATATATTATATATATATATATATACAGAGTTAACAATGTAAGAGAAAATTCTGCCTTGACTTCTGGCTAGTAGTGACAGGCGATGAACATACTCATGAGTGCATACAAACTGTAAACCTGTTTCAAAAAGAGGTTTAAAACTAGATAAAGAACTTGCCATCACACTGATTTTCATCCAATTGAAGACATCATGAATGGTAAGTTGGCACAGTGTTATTTTATGTGCCACTAACAAAGTAAAAATACTATCAATTGTAACAGTGTCATGCAGTGTATTGCACATCCTGATATCAGTGGTGTTCAACTGTCAATAAAACATGTCTTGAAAAATACACCATTTTATACATGGAAATACATATTTGAGAACAAGATTGAAAACATTAGCCTTGGTGATTCAGTAAAATCAGAACCGTACTTAGTTTGCTGACCCTCCTTTCCTCTGTGAACAACAGCCAACTTTGTGAACAACTGCTCAGTTTGTACTACAAAGCTAAAACCCAGAAACAAATTTAGAGGTCACAAAGCATTACAACAACTAATATAAATGTTCATTTTTAGAGAGCAATTTGCTACAAAAAGGCCTACATATTCCATCTAGTAACTATCAACTAACTACATTCTCCACATTTCTGTGAAGATTGTCTACTTAATAGCAGAGGTTACCCCCACATCCCTAACTATAAGCTCTGGGTTGTGACATTTACTGAAGGCAAATCCGCCAAGTACAAATATTTTACTTCAGTAACTGCACACGTGGGTAAATGCTTTAAAAAAATAAGACTTCTCTATTTCAAAAGCAAATGTTGCATCCTTTCTTTCTTTGACATTTAGATTTGCCAGCTACCTGGAACTGTACTCATGGCTTATCATTTTAAAAAAGTAAAGAAAAAATTTACACTAGTACAATGTATGTTTGGGACTTCAACATACTCATAAATCTTGACTTTGCAAATCATCATTCCTAGAGTTGACATTTAATAAATACTAATTGAGCAACTGTCCATTACATACAGACAAAAATGCAGACAGTATATCTGGAAAATATGCAGAACTGTTTTTGCAGATATCTTAAATAACACTAAATTCACAATTTTATATTTGCTCTCTTTTTATTGAAGAAAAGGATCCCTTCAATACAATGTTAGATAACACAGCTGGTGAAACTATTTCAATCCATTGAAGTGTCTGCAAAGGGCTTACATTTTAACTGTCCCCATCCTTCACATGCAATACAGATTTCCCTGGAGACTGGTGTTAACCCTCCATGGGCAGTTAGGGACACTGGTGGGAAGGCAGCAATGTCCAAGCATAGGACATACACTG